ATGAATAGTTTCGGCATCTGAGGGAAGCGTGCAACCAGATTTTTCCCATTCTTCCCTTTACAAACCAGGGGCTAAATGTTGGTAATTTATAATGGTCTCTTTGAATCCCTCCAGGACTTATCCTTTCAGGGATTAGACAGGAAAATAACCTGCTTGTTTGACATACTGATCTGCTAGAGCATTTCCTTTAGTTTCCATACTATGTCTTTTTGCATAAGCCTCAACTTTTATAGTAGCCATCTCTCTAGGAAAGTAGGAGTGTGTCTGAAAGTTCCTTAACTTGCTTTTCATTTCTAATGGGGGTTCTAGCAGAAGTGAGAGTCTCCTTTTGTTTCCAAAGCACACCAAAGCCATTACTATGTCAAAAGCATATCTGCTATATGTATATATGTATATCTGCTAGATGTATATATGTTTACTCTCTGGTCTTTGGTTAATTGACAAGGTCTAGTAAGTGCAGTAAGTTCTCCATTTAGGCTTATTTTACATACGGTAGAGGACTATATCTACCTATGAAAGAGGACTGTATTCTAAAGGGGAGCTTAAATTAGTGATATCATATCCTGTTTGATAACCTTCAGCTTCTGTTTTGAGGTATGATCCATCAATAAATAATCAGGTCAGAGTTCTCAACGGGAGTCTCCAGGAAACCCGGGCAGAGTACAGTGACGATCATGAGGCTCCCCTTCCAGCAAGAATGGGGGAGTGGGAGGATTCAGAGTATTGCAATGGAGAATAATAATGTGAGAGGGAGAGTGAAAGAATTTCATAAAAAGTTAACTGGCTGGCTGAAAAGTGTTGTGTGTTCTCCGCCAGCAGTAATATCTATACTGCATGAGAAGCCATGAGGTCAAGCAGGGAACCCAGATCTAGTTCAACAGAAGCACCAACAAGTTTTACGGCAACAGCTGTCATATCAGGAGTAAGGTTATAGTAAGCAAATAGTTTTTGGTGGTTCCCCTGAAATTGAGTTACAACGGCAAAATCTTGTCCGGATGGCACAAATAGACAGAAGGGTTTTGTGTAGTTAGTGGTGTCGAAGTAAGGTTGCTGAAGAGCCCTCTTCAGGTTATGGAAGGCCTGTTAATGCTTGGGCTCTCTGAAGAGAGTTTCGTACCGTAGGCTCAGCCAACTCCTAAAAAGGCATCGCGATTTCGGTAAAATTTGGCACCCACTGACTACAGTATCCAGTTAAACTTAGAGATTCTCTTAATAGTTATTTTTTGAAGTGTCTAGGATAAGTCTAGATTGTTTTTAGTCTATCCGGAGAGAGTGCTTTTCCCTCATTTATGTAGGTCATACCCTAAATAATGAACCATATTTTAGCAAAAGTTGTCTTTTGAAACTGTATGTCCCTTTTCTGCTAAGGCTGAGAGAATGTAAACTGAACACTTTTTTATGAGTTTCCTTGTTCTCTGAACAAAGTAGGAGATCATCCACATATTTTTCACAATTGAATCACAAGGGAAATTTAATCTTTAAGTATTGATGTGAGGAAAAAACCCTGTGGTGTGATTGTCCAGGTGTATTGTTGTTGTCTTATTCAGGTAATGGCAACAAGATATTGCCTATTCTGTTCTAAAGCCACACTGAAAAAGACGGAGCAACGATCCAATAGAGTAAAGCAAGTGGCTTCAGGCAGAGTTAATGACAGGATGGTATTTACATTAGGTACTATCCGGAACCAAAGGATAACAATTTTGCTGATGGCGCTAAGGTCTGAACAAATTGGTATCTTCCTCTGTCTAGTCTCTTTACTGGCAGGACAGAAGTGTTACAAAGGCTATTGCGTTGTATAAGACCTCTGTATACAAAGCTCTTAACTATAGGTTTGATCCCTTCTTTTGCTTCTGGCTTCAAGAGATACTGGGGAAGTTTGGATAATGGTTTGGTAGGATCCATCTGAATTTTGCTAGGTTCTGCTTCTATTATTTTTCCTATGTCAGCTGAAATTTTAGCTCATAGTGTCAGGTATGATGTAAAGACCTTTAACTGGGCCACGTATCAAATATAATGGAGAAGACAAAGGAGACACAACTTGATTACAAATAAGGGTATCCTCAGGAAATAGTCCTTCTGGTGTGTATTTCACATTACAGTCTCATTTGCAAAGTAAATCCTTCCCTATTAAGTTTGCAGGGGTGGTATCACAGAACAGGAAGGAATGTTTTTAGTTAAGGGCCCAAGGGTTACAGTTAAGGGCTGGGAGACAGGGAACATCTGTGATTATTTGAAATACCTACCATCTGAGTGGTGTGTTTACTCTTGGGAAGAGGTTGAGCAAATATGGCAAAGCCTAATGTAGAAAGAGGATTGTCTGTGTCTACCAGTAATTGATGAGGTTGACCAGCTATATTTATATTTAATTCACCCTGAACGTTTAAACTTAAGGAAAATATTGAGCTCTTTTTCCTTCCCTGAAGCATCCCTCATTCATCCGAACTAAAGAATTTTTCTTTGCCTTGGTTTTTCTTTGGTTAGATGGGACTGCCTTTTTTTCCAGTGTCATTTCAATTTATAAATATCTACAAGTGTCCTTGTCAATAGGTGGTTAGTTGGGAAGTGTGCCACCTATTTGATCTATAGGACCTTAAGGTTATTTGGGGTTTCATCTTGGTTTTGGTTCTAAAGCCCTTTCAAAATGTTCTGTCAGGTGTAATTCAGGTAAAGGAACTATTTACCATTCCAATTTCATCTTTGAATTAGATCTCCAATTTCATGTTTAACTCCATTGTCAAAATGAGAGGAAAGGACTGCCCCTTCTTTAACTCCCAAATAATTTTGGAAGGATTTTCTAATCTTCCTAAAAATCTCTTATTATTTTATTACTTTTCTGTTTGCATGATTAAACTATGGTTCAACCAAATTTTAAAATGTTTAAAAATTTTTTTTTAATTTTAAATTGTGCTTAAGAAACACATAACATAAAACTTAATCTCCTTATCGTTTTTAAGTGTTCAGTTTAGTAGTGTTAACTACATTCCATTATTATGCAACAGATCTTCAGCTGATTTTTATTGGAAATATTTTGGGTATGACTTTTAGGGGACTGCTCTATTGCAGGGGGGTACATTATTTGACTCTCAGGTTTACTGTGGAAGGAAGGATCCTTATAGTTGCCTTTCTGGGTCAGTCCAATCACCTTTTGCAACTCAGAATTTAGCAACTGAGGTTTCAACCAACATGTGTACAACTTAATACAGATCAGGTAACCATGGGTCTAATGCACCCCAAGGAATTTTAAATTCTTCTATGAATATTTGCTGGTCTCTCTGGGTTTAGGGAAATCCTAGTTATAGCTCTTGATTTAATTTGGTTCCAAAGTTTAAATTCTACAGTTGCTTACACACTTGACTCATGGGAGGGATGGATTTTAGAGGAAATTGGAGTTTGGATTCTTAAAAGAATTAGGTGATTTGGACAAGAGCAAGAAAGGGAGGAGTCAAAAGAGGTATAAAAGGAGAGATCAGAAGGGAAAAAGGAAGAACATTTGGTTAGTGGGAGGCAACTGGAGGACAAGGATGGAGAGGATTTACCTGGGAAATGAGTCTTATGTTTTGTTATATGAGTTTGTCAAATTGCTCGTTAGCATTGGCAAAAAAATCTTCTAGTAAAGAAACCGTTGATGAGAATTTTATTTGGAGGCCTCTGCTACCAATAAAAATGCTGCCCAATGGGCCTGAAAAATATTATTCTCTTTCTTTCTAAGGTGTCTCTCAAATGAACAATTGGAGATTGGAGACAAGATGGCGGAGTAGAAGGACCTTGAGCTCACCTCCTCTCATGAGAACACCAAAATCACAACTAACCGCCGCACAACCATCTATAAAAAAGACTGGAAGCTAAGAAAAAATATATTCCACATCCAAAGACATAAAGAAGAAACCCAGCAAGAAAGCAGGAGGGGCACACTTGTGATATAATAAAATCCCAGACGCCCTGGTGGGCAACCCACAAACTGAAGAATAATTATATCGCACAAGTTCTCCCACAGGAGTGAGAGTTCTGAGCCCCATGTCAGGTCCCCCAGCCTGAGGGTCTGGAGGAGGAACCCCCAGAGCATTTGGCTTTGAAGGCCAGTGGAGCTTGATTGCAGGAGTTCCACAGGACTGGGGGAAACAGAGACTCCACTCTTGGAGGGTACATACAAGGTCTCGTGTGCACCAGGACCCAGGGCAAAAGCAATGACTTCATAGGACCTTGGGCCAGACTCACCTGCTGGTCTTGGAGGGTCTTCTGGAGAGGGATGAGGTGGGGGTGTGTGGCTGTGGCTCTCTCTGGGTCATAAAAGTTGGTGGCATAAATATCAAATGAACAATTGTGTTCAAGTCCAATGTCCCCCCAGAGTGGCCACTGAAAGCCAAGTCATCTTCAGTGATTACGCCATTAGAAAAATAGGTACAAGACTTGAGAGCACCGAAAAGAAGCGGAAATGTTCCCAACAAAACAAGACGATTTAGTCTTAGACAACCCCATAGCAATGGTCGCTAAAAAGTGATGATTGTGCACCTCATGCCTTGGGCCTCAGCTAATACTTATCTGCCTCCAACCACAGACCGGACAGTCTGCACCTCCAACAGGCAGAAAACTCTCAGAACTTTCAAAGCCAAAGCTGTCAAATCAGAAATTAAAGACGGAAGGAGAACCTTATCTAGTTTCGTTGCTGACACACAACAACATTTTTCCAAATGGATACTAGCTTGATGAGAAACCATAAACTCAATGGTCGGTGAAGCTGGCTTTTGAACAACAGGCTTATTATACCCGGTAACGCTCTATGACTATGATCTGTTTGGTGAGTCTCCTTCTGATTACAACACTTTTAGACGCACAACAAAAAATGGAAGCACAAAGAGAACAAAAGAGGATGAAAAGGAATGGCTTGATTCCACCAAGGATGCCAAACAAACGGGCACCAATAACAAAACCCTGGTACCAAACTGAGAATAAATAGCCAAGTTATACAAAAAGAGCCCAGTTTAGGCCTAGTTCTGACTTACCCCAGGGGCAGGGATTCAACAAGCCTCAAGCACCAAAACACAGGGGCCTCCGTTGAGTATCACACGTCTAAGTGACAGGCTGTGCAGAGTGGATCTCAGTGAAACCTCCAGGAGAACTGTGGAAATAAACAAAGACCATCCAAATGAGAACAAACAGGCCCACTTATTCAGAACTTTCTGTAACAAGGGAGTCAGTCACCATCACTTGCGCTTGACAGAAACTCAAAGGCAGACAAGGGAGTGGAAAATTTTACAGTGCAAAGAAGGAAGCCTCCAAGTCTGCTGTGGCTGGAGGTTTGTTGACACGGGGAAGCAGGAGCTAACTGGAAGCAAGATATCTTACGTGATTGCTTTAGGGAGCATATTTGGCTTTCTCTCTCTCATTGGTCCTGAGTTGGAAGCAGGGACAAAAAAATAGAGAAGCTGGCACTCATAGACCAAGTCCTGACTGTTCCTGCCTGATTGCTGCAGAAGTGTTGGTTTGACTTTCCAGGCTGGTTGCTGCAGAAGACGATGGGTCAGAGTTCCACTGTTATATACAGGTAATCCATTGCCCATTTGCATATTTAGTGTCTCAAGGAAAACCCTATGACTTGTTTAAATTTTTCTCAAGGGTTCTAGCCCCAACCCTGGTAAAGAATAGAAGCTCAATAAATATTTGAGAAGAAGAAAGAGAATGAGGGAGAGAAATAAAAGGCCCAAACAGCAGTGAACCCTAATTAAGTATGATAAGCTAAAGGAAGCATCCATGCGATGAAGCCATTCGAGAGGTCATAGGAGGCATGCCTTCAGGTGGCATTGCTTAGCTGTGACCCACAGGAACAGCAGGACATAACCTTTCAACATGTATGCAACAGTCCAAAAAGATGTCACTTAATCAGAGAAAAGCTATAGGATACCATGCGAAAATGAAAACAGTCACAATGACTCGCAAAAAATATAATCCTCCCAGGCAAAAGGGATGGTCTTTGAGGTAGTGTCTTGTGGGAATACCTATTCAAGTGTCTTTTCAATCACTTGCTTCTGAGGAGTGAGCACTGTCAGAAACTTCTGAAATTTAGTAATAAATAAGAAGTGGCTGTTTACTTCCAGATGAAACTTTATATTGCTCTCATAGGTACCTGAGCTAGACAGGACATTACAGGACATTAGTCCAATGCCTCTTCTTTGCATATACACCTGCATACGTGTACACTGCCCAGCCCCCCACCCCCTCATACACACAAGAGACAGAGAAAATTTAAATAGATTCCAACATTACCTGGAGAAAAATAGTCATGGGCTTTTTAAAAAGGAAGTAAATCAGTGCCTAAGGTGTTTGTGAGAGGCCAAGTTAAGAAGCTGGAAGTAAACCAGGGGAGGTGAGCAAAAAATGAATTGTATGTTAATTTCAAATTAGCATTTACACTGGTTCCAGGCTTCAAAGGGCAAGGATCTGAGAAGTATTCAGAGGAGGAAAATTATTCATCCTAATTGAAAAAGGACAGTCTTGAGGGATTTACACTAGGGAGGCAGGCTCTTGGGATTATTGTAATCTGTCCCCTGTTTTTAGCTGAGCTGTGTGGAGCAAAAAGCCAGCTCCCCTGGGCAAAAAACTGAAAAGCTGGGTAGCCCTTCAAAACAAGTGATGGTCAAGGGCATCAGGAGATATTAGGTTTTAACTCAGAGCTAAAAGAAAAACAAGGAAATTTTAATAGCTTGAATAGCCAAGAGCTATCTTAAGGTGTTGGAGCTACAGAGATAACTATAAAAGTCCAAAATGATACGGGGAGAAGAGGAAAAATAATTTTCCCTCTACTCGTCTAAATTCTTGGCTGAGACCCACTTAATAATAGAGGTTAGCAAGAGAAAAACAAGCAAGTTCATTCATATGCACATCTAATGTATGCATGGGAGATACCCAAGGAAAACTGAGTAACTCAAAAGTGAAGGCTTACTACTCCAGCTGATACATCGCATCTTCAACAAAGAACAATAAATTCATAGAAATGATAAGAGAAAAGAAAGCACTTTTTGACTTCCGAGGGTGGCAAACTGTGAGAAGGTAGATCTATGGGAGAAAACTAGGAGGAGATAAAGCCTAGTTAGTAAAGTTTGTTATGTAGATTCCTCTGGCGCCTTCTACAGGCTGATAAGGTCTAAAGTTGTTTCTGGGGATTAACTTTTGTCCTTTCTGGTAGACAGGAGAAGAGGGACACATTTACATGCTACAAAATTTATTTAGGCAAATAGGGGGAGGGCAGGGAGCTTTCCTTGTATCTGCTTCTTCTCAGTTGCCTCAGCTCAAAACAATTCTTATGCTAAAGTGGCATATTTGAGGTGGCATATTCGAGGTGGCATATTCTACTACCCTTCTGGGGTGAAGGATTCTTTATGCCTTATACTGGGTTAAATAGTGACCCCCCAAATTCATGTCTACCCAGGACCTTTGAATGTGACCTTATTTGAAAATAGGTTCTTTGCAGATATAATCAAGTTAAGATGAAGTCATACTGAATAAGGGTGGGCCTTAATACATGACTGGTATCCTACCAAGAAGGAATCTGACACAGACATAGGGGAGTAGGACAGAGGCAGAGAGACTCTCGTGATGCAAGCCAAGGAATAACAAGGATTGCCAGCAAGCACCAGAAGCTAGGAACTCTCTGAGACAGTATGGCCCCCACCAACAACTTGATTTTGGACAGCTAGCCTCCAGAACTATGAGAAAATAATTTTCTGTTGTTTTAAGCCACCCAGTCTGTAGTAACGTTACAGCAGCCCTAGAAAACTAACATAGGCCAGAGGAAAAAATTGGATGAAAAGTTCAAAAATGGATGTTACATAAATTCAATACATATTTATTGTGAATTAACTATGCCCCAAATTGCGGCTGTAGAGAATACAAAGATACTTATGAACAGATCCTGCACTGGAGGAGCTTAGCATCGAAACTGCCACTGATTTTCACAGGAAAAAAAAAAAGCTTTTCTTTTCCTTTCAGTGAGGCTGTCAGGTTAGCAACATAGTGGAAGACTGATATAAGAGAATCAAAGTTATGAGTACTCAGCAGGTGGGCCATATTGTGAAATGGCTTGCAAACCACTACAGAGAAAAAAAATTGTAACTTCAGGACAAAAAGGTACAATGCAAATCAACTGGTTTCTTAAGCAGCTCTGTAGAGAAAAGTAAACTTTCTGAACTACTTTTTCTCCCCCTTCCCCCAGGATTCCTTTCTGGAAGCAAAGTGTTGGTGGGGAGGTAATTACTAATAGCAACATTAGTGCTGACACTTGCTGGAAAAAAACCTTTGGCATTTTTACCTATAACAAACCTGTCACCAGTGAAGGCACTTAAGAAACGTGCCTTGCTAGTCTTCTGAACACTAGAAAAAGAATTATGGTAATGTAAGGCATTTAACAAACACTTCATGAGTGAAAAAGGAGTGATTCTTCTTTTGCCCAATTTCTTCCCAAATTATTAGTTCATAGGGATAGAAATTGACTTCTCTTTTCCCCCAAATGATCAAATTAGAACAATTCTATCTAGTTTCAATCCCTGAAATTAAAAAAAAATTAATTTATAAAGCCTGGAACTGACTATTCCTGGGGTTAATTCCTCATGTGACCCTCCACGTCTTCTTATGTAGATCTCTTTCCAACGTCATGTGGGTTTGGGATACATCAAAGAAAAATCGCACTGCATGGAGTTAAACAGGTAAGGGGGACTTTATTCAAGACCATCTCAGTAGAGGTCAAGACCACTGCAATAGGGGATGGAGACTGAATGTAACTCTGAATACCACCAATGGCAGCTGGGTATTTGTAGCCAATGGGCAGGGTGAAGGTGTAGATAGAAAGTTATTGAGAGGAACTTGGTTTGGTATCAAGGATAGAGGTAGACTTCTGCTAAACTGGCTTGGCAGGATTCTTGCTGAACTAGACTGGCAGGCCAAGGGTAAGACCTAATAGAGAAGAGGGCTCAGAGCAACCTGACTAATGTTCAGTCAAAGAGCGAGAGCCCTTATCAGATGATACACCCAAGTAGCTTTTGCATTAACAGAGGTGTGTTAGTCCAAGGTCCAAGAAACGGACCAGATTTACCCCCATGTTTGATTGTCTTTGTTTTATTTTCTTTTGGTTTATTGGCCAACTATTCAAATAATTTAGAAATCACCCAAGTAATTTTTACTAATTGGTATGTGTGAATTTATAGAATGGCTACAATTCAAATAACTCGTATGCTTATATCAATAAAAACAAAACTATTCAAAATTGCTTTCATGGTAAGTTTCCTTTGTTTCTTATTGTTCAATGGTTGCGACACATAAAGGAGAAAAGGAAGACAAAGAGTAGACGTGAATCAGGAACAGGGCCTCACCAGATGCACAGCTACATCCTGAGGGTCTCCCAATTCCTCCCATTAGGAGAGCTTCACACCCATTGGCTGACTCGCTCAAAGTCAAATGGAGAAGTCAGGATTTGAAGCCAGATCTGTCTGACTCCAAGATAAGATTCTTTCCATTATACCAGCAGTTCCCAAACACCAGCTCTTGGACCTGGACCAGCTCAAAATTAAGTTATAAGCTGTCAGAGCAAAATGAAAAATGCAAGGACAATGTAGTGAGCTTTTTTAAAAACAAAATGAATTCAATTTAAAGCATTGTTCTTTTTCTGAGATTACGGCCCACTTCTGGTGTTTAAAATGTTCTTTCTCTTGTGAAACGATAGTGGTTATGATGGCAATTATTTGTTTTTGTTTTTGTTTTTCAATGTCCTTACCAGACAAAATTTAAAATTTGGCCAAGCTATAAATGACACCTGAATGTTTTTGATATTTTGGTCACTCATGGAATTCCAGAACCCAGAAATCAGGACTGCCAAAAGTTCCCATGAAACATAGAGGAAACAGGCAGCTTGACATGTTCATTCAGTGATTTCCTCACCTCCGTGTTCACTTCAACCTCTGAAATTTAGAGAAAAGTCACTCTGATTAGAAGAAAAGTTAACATCTCTAATTGTATTAGAGAACAAGGACAGACACCAAGGCACAGCTAGAGACGATGAGACTCAAGGTGATTCTAAGGAGTAGAAGAAAATCAGCCACTGGAGGGTCTAATGGCAGGAGAAGAAAACAA